TGAACAAACGTTTCCTTGACTTTTGAAGTTAGGGAACCTGAAAACTTTATGATCCTGGTGGCCATGACCATAGCATGCTGGACTCACGAGGCACTCCCCAGAATGAGTTCTGTGGACATGCAAACTTGGGAAAGACCGCTGGGCATACCATGTAATGGTAACCTACAGGACCTGGGTCGGTGAGCAGATATGCTAGCCAATGTTTAATCACCTCATCTCTGGGAGCGCGGAGGGGGAAGCCCTGATTTGTAGTGTTTGCTGACTCCCATGGCAAGAATTCTCCCCATACAGCCATGTTTAAGATATCGAGGTGAAGTCTCTGAAGGTGGACTTGGGAAGAGACACACACGACAGGCTCAGCAGTTGGCTTCCTCACGTCACTGGTTACAGGGTATGATGAGTGACCCTATTTTCCCCTTCGGGGTTGAGAACCAACGAAGATACAGACTCAGGAGACAGATGGAGGCTGCAACGTGGTCCTCTTACGATGAAAGCTGGGTTTGGGGATGTGGTAGGTTGGATTCTTTTTCAGATACCTGTCTCCCCTCGCTGGATAGGAGTGTGTGTCTTTGATCTGCTGGGCCGAGGCTCAGCTACCCGACTTGCTTCGTTCCTGGCCTAGGTCGGCAGCGGCCTTCAGAGTTCCTGCTGGCCCATCTGTACCGCTTCCATCGCCGTTAGATGTCTGAGCAATGCCACGGCCCAGGGGAGAGGCCCAGGCGTAGAGCCAAGACGCTCCAGTGAGCCCAGCTTGGGCAAGCCCAGCTCAGCTGACTCAGGCTCGAGTTAAATAAACACTTCTTGCTGTAAGCTGTTCTTATTAGACAGCATTACTGGGCTGTAGTCAACTTTTTTGGAAATTGGTGCCTAGGATGGGCGACTGCGGGTCCTAAAATACGTAGCAGAGGTTTGGACCTGGGCGGTGAGGAAATTTGGAGGCTGTTGGGAAAATGGCAAGAAAAACGGTGACTTCTTGTGTTATGTGGTGGAGAAACATTTGGTGAAATTATTGCCTATGATAATTTGGGAGGCAGAAAATGTAACTATGAATTAGTGGAGCAGGGCAGGGTGGTTTCCAGGCAGAATGTTGTAAACATGAGCTTCTTTGAGCTGCAAATGATAAAGTACCACAAATAACAGACGAGTTCAAAAAGGAACTGGCCAGTTTTCAAGCAGAATTTAGAAAGTAAAATGATTTCTCATCTCCAGTTTCTCCAGCCAGTAAAAGATCCTGAGATCCAGAACTGGCCTGGGAGGCAAAGGCTAAATCCAGGGCGGTGCCCTTGAAACCTGCCTCAGAGGACAGACGACATCGAGGTTGCATCCTTGGTTGCAGTGCCCGTGTTTTAAGGTCCTTGGATAAAGCAGCATCTAGAACGGCCTTTCAGCGACAAGGTGCCTAGAAACCTTCAGGGCTTGGCCCACAGCAGCCTGATGTGGGGGTACCAATCATCAAATGTAGAGGGGCATACTGCCCAAGGAATCTGGGCGTGGCTTCTGGCACACAGAGTGAACTGGAATCAAATGCACAGGAAACCCACATCGAGAATGCCACAGACAAATGCATTGCCAGCGTGGACTCAAAGGGGACGGAGACTGCTTGAAACACAAAGGACCTTGGGCTTCCAACTTCCTACAAACGGGAAGAGGCTGAAAGTTACTTCAAAGAGCCATTTTCCCATGCCCTCGTCAGACATCGAAAGAATGATGGGGCCGGGCTCAGTGGCTCAGCCTGTAATCCCAGCACTTTGGGAGACTGAGGTGAGTAGATAGCCCAAGCTCGGGGTTTGAGACCAGCCCGAGCAACTTGGTGAGATCTCGTCTCTACAGTATATAAAATAATTAGCCGGGTGTGGTAGCTTGCGCCTGTAGTTCCAGCTACTTGGAAGGCTGAGGCGGAAGGATCGCTGGCAACCCAGCAGGTGGACACTGGGGTAGCCATGAGTGTGCCACTATACTCCAGCCTGGGCAACAGAGTGAGATGCCAACTCCAAAAAAAGAGAAGATGGAAAAAGCAGACTGTTCCAACAGTGGAACAGAGCTGTGGGCCACAGTGGACCAGAACCCCCCGGCCCAAGCAAGGAGCATCCCACTCCCAAAGCAGGGAGCACTGGAAACATCTGCTCAGTGGGATTTCAGATGTGTGAGCCAGCCTGATCGGCCGGTCAGGGTTGACCCTGATACTGTGGCTCACCCAGGCTTCGGTGGCCCAGAACAGCGTCGGGCCTCGCCCTCCCCACAAGGCGGGGCGGAGCAGCCTTCAGAGACGTAGTAGCAAGTGGTGAAGCAGGGAAGGTGCGAGCCCCAAAGATGGACTTCCGAAGGAAGGACAGGGCTCGCCCGGCCCACGAGCCCAGTTCCTCCGGCAGGGTGCAGTCACAGCTAAGCCACGCCTCCTTGGGGAAGAGGGCGGAGCCAGGCCGGGAGGGTGACTCCCACAGCAGTTCTTTCCCTGGGAACTTCCGCCAGAGAAGTGGTAGGTAATTCCCCTGACCCCGGGCTCCCCAGTGAAGGTTCCAGGACACTTGCCGAAAGGACATCTGCTCAGCTTGAGTTTCCTGGGGGGTTCCTGCACTTACGTGACCACAAAACATGTCTCCAGTCCATTTGGTCTCACTCTCTCCAGGCGAGGGTGGCCTATCCCACGTGGCTTGTCTTCTAGACTACTCAGCCAGCATGCTGAGGTTTTTCTCCTGGAGAGGAGAGTGATGGGGCCTGGGCTGGGAGTGTGGGGACTCAGTGCGCCAGGCCCTCGCAAGTGCCCTCTTTCTCAGCCCTGGGGCTCCCTTCTCTGTCCCCCGTCTCAGTTCCAGAATCGAGCCTGACCCCCAGGCTGGGCCACACCCCTCACCAGTGGACTCCCCTGAGGTTTACAGAAGTGGCCTGATGGCTGCCCACGGCTGTCTACTGGCTCACCAGACCCAGGCCCTCCCTGTCCACCTGCCAGGCTCAGAGCCCCTGCTCATGGCTGTCCCCCATGGACTCCCTTGCCCAAGGCTGGTTGCTGGGCATCCTGGGGGTGCTGTTTGCCTGCCCTCTCTCCTCTTGTCTGTGCCAGAGCATGGGACACCCGCTCTTCTTCCCGCCCCACCCCTGCCCTGATTCAAATGTGCTCCATCAGACCGCCCACCGAAGAGAGGATTCTAACACTGGGGTGTTCGGGTCTTCACCTCAGTCTGCTACACACGGCTCCTGGCAAACCAACTCATATGTTCAGACCGGCTCACTGGAAAAACAGCCAGATGTTCGCTGTTGGATGTCGAAACCTGCCCATCCCCAAGGAGGCAACAAACCGCCGGTAAATGCCTTAACGTTACATTTCTCGGCTAAGGCGGGCTAGTCAGTTTTGACACGGTTAAGAAAAAATACACCCTAATTTCCACTCAAATGCACCAAATTTACTGCTCAGGTTCTCATTAACCTCTGTCAAGGGAGAAGCAGATAGACAAGATAAATTATGAAAAAATTACTTTTTTAATGTACAAAAAGACTTATGTACAAGTTGAGCATGTCATCTCAATTCATAGCATGTAGAAAAAGCTAAAAATGTTTTGGAGATATAAATCTGGCTGGACGGTTCACCTACAGTATATTCAGGGAGAATGTCTCTGTACAGAACTTACAGGTCGGGAACGGCGAGAGAAACCCGAGCGCGGGGAGGAATGAAGCCCTCCCCGCAGAGCCATGCCCCCGGCAGCGAAGGCACTGGGCTCTCCCTTGGAGGTGGCCTTGTCTCTGGACCTTGGCAGAGAGTCTAAGGTGCTGGGACGCAGAGGGCCCAGATGACTTTGGTGCTGTCCACAGACTCTCCTAAGAAGTTCCTCATCGAAGCCGAGGTCACAGACAGACACGCTCACAGCAGTGCCCTGGCTTCGGCAAGGTTGCCACAAATTCGTCACGAGAAGGTCTGCTGTGTGTGTGGTGGTGGGAAGATGCACCCATTCGCCTTACAGTATGTTCAGGAACGACGTCTTCTGAAGCCAGTTCCAGATTCCACTTCCAGGTGGGGCTTGGTCACACTGAACAGGAGAATTCAGTGATGGTCCCAAGCATCAACCCCTTCACCTTGCCGCTCCCACCGCAAAACACCACGCATGTCATTATTCTCCGACCAGTAACCAGGGAGGGGAGAGGGAAGGAATGCAGAAGGTACCGGGGCTGCACGCCGTGGCTTGGCAGAGACCACCGGGCTGCTGGTGCGCGGACAGCTGGCGGGGCGGGCGGGGGGAGAGGCTGGGCAGAGGCTGCCATCGAGCCCTGGAGTTTTCCACTGCAAAGTGGGCACACAGTGCACTGGAGAGACAGGATTGGGTAAACATGCGACTTCCTCTTTCTACTGTGAGAGCCCCGGGGCAGCCTGAGGCTGGGTCCCCGAGGGCGCCCTCACCTCGAGGCCTCAGTCTCTCCCTAAGCCACAGTGGCTCCTGCGGCCCCAGGTATTTAGAAACAAGTGTTCTTTTCAGGAAGGGCTACATTCTACATGCAAACACTGTAAACACGGGCTGGAGAGGCCAGGGCAGCTTCTGGGCTTGCCCCGAGCAGTACACTTTTTTCTTTCCTTTTTCTGGTGAGACTTACAAATTGATTCATTCATATACACTTGGACGGGCTGCCAGCCCCATCTTTGGCTTTTCGGGGTAGAGAGGCCAGCTCTACCAAACTCGGAGTCAAGATGTGCTTTCCAGCCATCTAGGTAGAACCCGTTTCTGTCCTCTGTCACAAGGGATGTCACAGATCTCAAGAATTAGGCTTCGCCGAAGAATCTGAGTGGACAGGAATTCCTTTTCCTTGCCAGTAGCAGAATGAGAAGCTCATCTTTCTGGAGCAGAATATCCAGTGCGACATTCAGATTCAAACAAAAATGAGGCTCCCCTACGCCCTTCCCGCATGTCTTTGGAAAGCCCTTGGCCACCGTCGTCCCTCATTAGCTGAACACGAGAGGTGAAAAACCCAGAACAGCGTGGTCCGATAGACTCCAAAGGGTGCAAAGCGCTGTGTAGATGAGTTTTTCATTCCTTCCTTTCCTTATTGAGAGATTTTTCATCGTTCAGAAAAATAATCCAAAAGTCCAGAGAGGCTGCCCATAAACCTTTTCTTCAAACATCTGTCACCTGAACCAGCCATTGGCAAAAATCCCTCAGGCCTATTTAATACTTTCTTGGGAAAAGACAAAACGGACAAAACCCCCACGCTCCGGGAAGCGATGATCCCTCTGGGTCCGCTCGGGGCCACAGGCCTGGGGCTTCAGGTCATCAGGTTCAGGAACTTGCTCTCCTCGGCTAGGCTGGTGAGCATGGAGCTCATGTCCCCGACGGCCATGTTGCTGATGCCCGCGGGGATGGAGGGCAGGGTCAAGGAGTTCCGGGGCGTGGTGAGGCGGGAGGAGTTCTGGGAGAGGCCGTGGAGGAGGCTGGGACTCAGCGCGCCCGAGAACAGACTCGAGTGGTCGCCGTCGTCCATGATGGCGTCAAAGTCGATCTGGGGGGCCTCCAGGAGCTGGGAGTCCACGGTGCTGGACACCTGGTTGACCCCCGGGGAGGGCAAGGGCTGCGGCTGGATGGAGTCCGGGCAGGCCTGAGGCTGGGGCGGCTGCGGCCGCATGACCTGGCAGCCTCCCAGGTTCTCCAGGCCTCCGTCCTGCTCGTACATGTGGATCTGGCCGTAGTAATACAGCATGCTGTGGTCTTGGGCCCCGCTCACGTCCCGCAGGGGCGGCTGAGGAGGCAGGGACGCCATGCTGCCCACGGCGCCCTTGGGCACAGCCTCTGGGGTCTCCAGGGCGTGGCTGGGGTCCCTGGCATAGGCCAGGTACGGCTGTCCAGCACGAACCC